ATTGTATTTACGATATTTAGACAGGCCAGCCCAGTTCAGCTTGAAGCTGGTTTAAATGGGGGCCTGTACATCCCACCATCCCACCCCAAGGGAGGACATCTATCACACAGTAATCTCGTGTGTGGGAAATTAACGTCTCCTACCCCAACCCTGCAGGAGACGGGACCTCCATTTACTCGTCCCTATTCGAGAAGACTAGAATATCTAACCATTTCTTGATGTTATAGAAAAGTAGCAAATTCTTCTCAATTATTTTAAGACCTTGAGTGTTGGTCCAGCCAGAAAAAACAAACTCAATGATAGAAGAGTAGAAAAAACAAACTCAATGATATAACTGTTGTACCCACCGATAATTTTTTCCACAAACTGATACATCAGTCTGGTCTCTTCCTCCTCTCTTCTCCATCTTTGTCGCACAATAAAGTATGCAATCATCAATCCTCCAATGGCTGGAGAGGAAAAAAAAAAAAGAACGGGGTGTCGACTTTTAACAAGAAAAAGTTGGCATTGAAATCAGTTAAATGTGGCCTATGTCTGAACTTGCCATTCTTGCTCTTGAAAAGATGCAAAAACATTTCCTTGTGCCAATAACCCAGTAAGGTTGTTTTCCATGCATGTCTCACCATCACTTGAATGGTAAACTAGACATCCACACTAATGGTGCTAAATTGAAAGCGGAGCACTGTCAAAGCTTTATAGTTTTGTTGTTAGACTCCTTCATTAGGCCTTCTTGGCTAACTGAGCAAAGAATTCATCAAATTTGAAGGCACCTTTACTCTTGACAAATATCACCCCTGAAAAATATCCTGATAACACTTTAAGACCTCATCTATGAAATTGGTCTCTGTTAGAAGGAAACACCTTCTGTGGGATTTGCAATGTCTGAATCTACCAACTTTTCCTGTAGTTTCAACTTACTCACCAAGGCTGATCAACAGAGAGAGATAAGCCAAACGGGATACTGCTTCTTTGATGCAACACAATATGGGTTTGGCAGAAACTGATGCATCAATCCAGGCCACACTTCTATTATCATGTGTCATCTCACTTATATTGTTAAACAACCTAATGAGATCATACAATATATTTTACATTAAGACTATAAATATATAAATATCATACAATTGACCTGCAGATTAACCAGTCAAGGTGAAAGTGATCATCACAGTAATGAACACCACTTAAGCAGTAACGAAAATAAAGCCTGGAAAAAAAAAAGAAAAAAAAAGAAAAAATTGTGCAAATGCCTCAATGTTTTCAGGTAACTTAGCCATCTATCAGATGTTTTTTTCAAGAGACTTTCCAATATCTATTTTGCAGCATTTCAACATTTTTTCTTGCAAACATCATGCACCAAATGTAAATATGGCGTCCAATAAGAATTGCCATTGTTCTGGACTGACTAGTCTCGTCTTCACGTGGAAACACAAATGGATTATTACGTGTGAAAGGCTAGTGAGTTCAGAACAATGGCAATTCAAATTGGACTCCATATTTGCATTCGGTGTATAGAGTCGCTCAAAGTTATAGGAATTTTAAAAACATTATCAGCTAAAAAGAATTGTGAAAGTGCTGGACTAAACTGCTGAAGGTTCTCAATTTTGTCATCTACATTCCTCTGGAGGCTTCAAAACTCACTCTGTGGCTCGTTCTTAAGAACTTCAACAAAAACCACCACATGTCATTATATTACACTACCTTAAATTCCAATCAGGGTTATCAAGAATCAGCTGTAGTGTGGTACGAAGTATTCGAACCTGATCTTTAGGCTCCCTTGAAGGCTGTAAAATAGTCAAAGTAATAATTGGCAAATCATTAAGTTCACTGAGCAGTGACTTTCTAAAAGCAGTTAGTCCCTGACACAAGTGTTTACTTTCAAACTTTGCTCACAAATTCTGATGGTAAAAACCTCACAAAACTAGCAACTCTCCAAATACAGAATTCTCAAAATGCAAATTAAAGTAACATGGGTTTTTTACTTGAGAATTTTAAGCCACAACAAACACACACAAAGATATTACATTGTACTTCTAAAGTTAAAAGTACTGCATCTCCTGCACATCTTCATTTAATTGGTCAACTCTGTGATGAGTTTGTCACTGAGAATGTTAGTTTTCAGACTTTTAACATGTTCTGGTAATAAATTTATTCCAGCCTTTCCTGTACAACACCAACAATTTTCCTACAGCTGTACATAAACAATTTCCTTCATGAAACAAAAAAAAAATAGCCATCATAAGCCCACCTATCTATTGCTTCACGGCAAACAAAAAACTAAACAGTCCTACCAGTCCTATGCCTTGACAACAAATATCACGTAAAACTTGATCTTTACTTACATTATCCTCTTTGATTTGTTCTTGTAACTCTCCCAGAGACATATTTCTACTCTTCATGCTCAGATCTTTGCATTCAAATAAACCTTAAGGGAAAAATAAAATAATATTTGGAACTCTCTAACAATTGACTTTCCTGAAAACAAAATCAACAGTTTTTCCACTTACATGGAAGGCTCTGCTGGAAAATACTCCCTGGAGTACCAGAATACTGGTTCTCTGAGGGGCGGATGGCACTATCCACCAAATTAATCCCTGTCCAGTGGATGGTGCAGTACCTTTAATGCAACTCTGCTGGATAGTGATTTATCTGCTAGAGAGCCTATACATAACTGAACCCAGAATTTTTACGCCTCTCTGTTGTAGGTGACTGATCCCAAGAATTTCTTTATGTTTCCCTTACTGGATTTTGGAACCCATCCATACATTTGCATGAAAAGGTGATTTAGAGCTTTATATGACTAAAATAAATACAAAACAGAGCCACCCTGGGCACAGTTTGAGCCCTAAATTTTAAATACACGGCCCAGCTTGCTAATAGCATCTACAGCATATTAATCACTCACCTCTAGAGGATATTAAGTTCTCTCACCTGCTTTGATAATAAGTCTTTTGTACAGCAACTCTACATATCCCTTGCTGATATTGGTTAATGGTACACAGTCAGGGTGCTACAAAGCAATTACATGAAAATAAGAATGAAAACAGAAAAGTAATAGTGTAAACAAATTTACCCTTAACTCTCAGATGGGATTAACATGAAACTTCTCCCTATGACATTCATTACATAATCCAGTAAACAAGAAATGAGAATATTCAAACTGATCAGAAAGAGGTTGTTATTTTCAACTACCACCAAATTCTTATAACTAATTCACAAGCAAATGTGTAGCAGCTAGAAGGGTTAAATTAATAATTAGATCTTGGGAGTTAAAAAGGTCAAGAAGGAAAATCTTGAGCTTTGTCATCAACCAAAAAGAGAAATTGTCATTTGCTACAAGCACTGTTCAAAGAGTCCAGGGCAAATAGTGACTTTATTGCTTTTCATTCACCTTGGAAATCAGACAAGATATTTATCACATCGTGCCAGTCATTAAAACTTCACAAACAAAATAACGGTATAATTATATGCACATCTGGGTATTTAGCTAAAAGAATGGAGTTTTTATCAAAAACTAAATATGTAATCGAACACTTACGCTTGAACTACACCGAGAAATCATATTTTCAACATTCAAATGCGGGAGACATCGAGTAAAAAATAGCTGTAGTGACAAATACAATACACTGTATTGATTAACTAATCTATAAGAGATCAAACTCAAGAGCAATTATCATATTGTATATCACATATTACCTGAGGTTTTTCCATATATTTATCCAGTGAATTTTTATCTTTGCAAACTGTGAGTTTAACTAAGGAAAAGAAATGAAAACAACAAGTCTTACCGCAAAAAACAGTGACTAAACTAATTAATAAATAATAACCACCATTACAGCAATCGGTCTAAAATTAGAGCATTATTTTTTTTAACGATTAATAAGTGTGTACACTTCGAAATGAAATACATTTATCTCTAACGAGTGGTATATAAATTGCAGAAATACTTCAATGTACAAAGTACGATTGGCTGATTAGGTGATGAAACAAAACCGAAAAGGCGATATTACGACGATATTCTCACCTAAGTCTGCCATGATCATTTGTTCACTTGAGTGGCCCTTGAAGGTCGCATACAACAAAAGGGGAATGCAAATAGCACTTATCAAGAGAAAGATTTTGGCAATTGATGACCAAGAGGAGCTACTCTTTGCACCTTTGGCTCCAGTATGTCTCTCTTGAAGTGAAGAGCTCAGTTTAGATTCGGTAGTAGCGAAATGTTTGTTTCTTCCGTAGGTGAATGAAAGCGTAGTTTCTGATCCTTCACTTTCGTCTTGAGCTCTTACGCGTTTTGTCGAGACGGGTGGACGAGAATAGTCAGTTGCACCAACAACTCGACTTCTTGGTCTTTGATAGATTTGCGCATCGGAATCTGAAAATTCCCCATCAACACCATCCGTGGAATCTAACGTGTTCTCAGAAATGCTACCCTTATCGATGGCGGTCGGTAAGCGCGACCTCAAATTGTTTCTCCTCGTTGGAGTGATCGACCTCGACCGGCCGCGTCTCTGGGAAACGTTACTAGACGACGTTTCTTCCTCACGCCTAGCCCTGCTATCATCAACTACAGTACTTGAATGACTCGGTCCTGCGTCTTCCTCGTCACTAGAAAATCCGATCAACTTACGCGACGGACTTTGATTTCTCGTTGCGGGTAACGACCTGCGGGCCCGAGTCGATCGTTTGGGAGATGACTTTTTTGAAAGCGTCAAATTGCTCCTTTGTTCATTCTGTAACCTTTTTAATTTACGAAGTAAAAAGCCCCTGGTAGAGGGTGTAACAGGCCCGGGCTCTTCACCAAAAGCCTTAAGCTGGCGGCGCAATTCGGCGTCAGAGATATCACCGTCTGAGGCCGCCATTATCTAAAGACTCGTCGAGAAGGCCTGGCTACACTATGAAGAGCTATTTTTGGGCAGCACCGCTGAACATTTGTCATTCTAGCCATAGGCACGCCTACGTACATTGTTACCTCCGGTCAGTTTCACGACAGTCCCTGTCACTTACGGGCCCGTAAAGCTGTTCTGTTTTCATTCAAGATGGGGATTACAAATTTTTTTTAAAACTACCAGCTAAAGAAACAAAAAGGACTGGTTTGGGTGCCAGAACCTGCTTTCCTATCCTTTGACGGGATCGTTAAGTCACCGGGACTTTCGAGAAACGGGCCCTTGAACCGGAAAAGACCCCAGTAGTGCCCGAAAAATACAACGTACTCGCAGACAAATTTATTTTTAGATCGCATTCTTTTTATCCTCCACAAAAACAGTGACTTCCTTAGCAGATTGCATCGGTAAAATGATGTCTTAAATAATACAATCTCCATAGCTTTGAGTTGGAGACTGTGCCATTCTAAGAGCGAGGTTTGAACGCCAACTTGTCTTTCCTGGTTAACCAAGAATAGATCAGGTAAACCCATCCACCATATTGATACCCGACACCTCAATTAGTAATATCACGCCATAAACAAGAGGTACATAAATCATGCCTGCCTAGGCGCGGCGAGGACAGGAAAGTATTCTATAAACAAAAAGAAACATCCAATAAAGAGGTTAGAACCGAAGGTCCGTCAATAAAGATGTGATAAACGAATCAATTTGGCTGTTGATAAAGCTTCTTAAAAGCGTTATTAGAGTTTTGTATGGAAAACGGGCAAAAAATTTGTTTTATTATCCAATCGTCCTTCGTAGAGTACAAATAACGGGCGAGACGAGTACAAATATCACGTGATATTTGTACTCTAGAAATATCCGCAAGTTCGCCCGCACTGAAATAACAATTTGGCGTGTTGGATAATAAATCTCTTATTAGACGTTTTGTTGTGTAGTATCGTTGAGTATTTTAACTCGTTGTTTGTGGTTTGATTCGCCCTACGGGCTCGTCAAAGTACGGCACAACTCGTAAAAACACTCAGCGATACTACACAATAAAACGCCTAATAAGATATATATATTTATTAAAAACCGGATCATTGGATAATGCTATTCAAGACTTTTTATTGGCTCAGCCATTATGGTATATAAGCCAATATACCATAATCTAATTTCTGTACATTGTTAAATCCGGTTTCTTTTCACAAAATAAAGTCGAGAAGATTTGTCTAATATCTTGGGGGCGTTTTTTTAATAAAACAATTATTCCACTCTCGCTTGTTGGATATGAGATGATTATAGCCAACTCGGCGCTACGCGCCTCGTTGGCTATCTATCATCTCATATCCAACGCGCGCTCGTGGAATAATTGTTAAATATATTACTTGGCTTTGTCTTTAGGCTTGACCGACTTGGCTGCCTTGCGATTGAGCACTCTACACTGGGGTTGCCATGTGCTTAGCCCGCGTGCAAAGCTCATCACCTTAGGTGTGATTTGAGCACTCTTGCATGGAAAGGTGTCTGCACTTGTTCCCAAAANCCACAATATATATATATATATAAGATAATAAGATATATATAATAATATAAGATATATATATATATATATATATATATATATAAAGCTGCGGAAAAAAAAACTTGACGGTCCACGAGAGTGTTCAAGTCAAACCAAATGTCAAGGTCAAGGTCTCTAAATGTGATTGGCTATCGATTAGATCACGCACGTCGCATCGCGTGTGCAAACAGAGAACATATCAGAGGGAGAGGGAAAGAGAGAAATGCAGTTCGAAAGTTATTTACGAAAACTTGAGAAGATTTGAACATATCATTGACTTGTTCGATATTTGCCTATTCAACTTTGCACGCTGTTAGCATTCATGTTTAGGGGAGGCTTACGTTATCTACTTCAAATTTGTCTATGTCGTCTAGAAAATCATCATTTTGCACTTTACGGCTCCATGGTTTGGTGGTACTTCACCGTGAGTTTGCCGATGAAAATTGAAAGTTTTAAAAATACATAGCCTAACATGATTGTGCGAAGAAATCTTCCCACTATTTTCGGGAAAGGTTAATCCATAATAAATTAAAAACTGTCTGTGATCACTTTTTATTTACCGTAGGTGGGGGAGGGGTGCAATCCGTCAACTTCGTCCCCAGGTCTTTTCCTTTTCAGTTTGGAACTGTTGCTGATATAACTGTCACTACTTTTTTTTTTTAAGATAGGATTACTTGCTTGACTTTGAACGTCCTTTAAGAGTTCCAATTAGGTTTAGGGTCGCAGCCGTGATTCAGTCAATCAGTTTTAAGAGCTGGGAGTAGACCATCCTCTTTCGTTGTTTTTAGTTCTTTGCCGATTCCGGAAATCTAGCTTGCGATGGTAAGGAAATTTTATAGCAAATCTTGCACAGTAAACATGGTAAATTTGCAGTATGCCAATTTAGCGCACTACGAAAAAAGATCCACATCATTTCCTGGACACTTCGTCTAGAAATAACGAGAGTTATCAACTTGTAAGCGAGGTCTAAAATCGGACGTACAGTCTCTGAAATTAATTTCCTGTTTTCCTCGAGTATTATATAATTACTTCACCGATTTACATAATCAAGCGACACCGGTTTCCTAACAGATCGTAAGGAGCCGAATGTGACATACGACCTACTGGAACAATTCTGTGCGCCTCATTTGCCCTGTTATGCCCATTTTGATAATCATGTATATGGCTTTGAACTTCTGAACATGCTGGATTTTGGGATTAAGAGGCCTGCATTTGTGTCACCCCCGGATCAATGTGCTGTCTTTTTGGAAGAAAGTTTACTCTCACACTTAGTGTTTCTCTCCACCCAGGAGGACAACATGGATAACGACAAAACATCAGGGAAATTTGACTAGTTGCTCTGGACTAGCATCTCGTAAAGGGGATTAAATATTACGTATAAAACTACAGGAGTGACTAATGATTCATAGTTTTCTTTATTATCTGTGTGTTAATTAAACAAAACCCCGTTTTTACTTTTTCTGTTTCGAGCTGTCTTTCTCCAGAGGAAGCCCCCCCCCACCCTACCCGTCTTGGGGTGCTCTTATTTTAGGTACATAAAAGGGATATCAAACGTGGTACATGCAAAATACTGATACAAGGGCATAAGAACCAGAATGGCCTCAAGGTAGAACTTGGGATCCTGTGCCTAGCAACCCCTGAGGGTTGAAGTCTTTAACCCTATAACTCCCATAGGTGAACAAGACAGAATTTCTCCTAACGATATCAATACAATATCAAGCAGACAAGAGATGAGAATAAAGTAAAATATCAATTGGGGGATTATTAGTTGATCCAATACCAAATTCTCCAAAACAACACAATAACAATTGTATGGCAGACAGTAAGGAGAATAATTGATCGGATCTTGGGAGTGAAAGAGTTAACAGTAAAAGTTTGATCCAGAAAAAATTATTTTGAGAGAGCAAGTTATGAGCACCTCAGCTTCTGCGTTGATACCAGTTCTCTAATAAATACAGCCGTAATTCACTTCTAGCAGCATCATATACAATCGTTCTTAGATGACAAAAAGTTCCGCTGTAGATATGATCACTATAGACATCAATCAGTCATACTCTTTGAGTTGAAACCTTGATTCCTCCAAATACTTTCCCAACCGATTCAAAGAATGGATCGAAAAATGTCCTCACACAAAGCCCGAAGACCTTGCCCAGACACTGTAACTCAATGATGTACGCTCTCAGACAAGGCATTATGCACCATATGTAGTCAAAACTGAGGCAGGCGAAGTATAAACCACAAAGTACTGCAGTAGGAATACCAAGAATCGCTGTAATTATCCGATAGCACCAGTATTTGGTGTTGACAAATGCTTTGAAGCTTGTGCGCCAAACTCCCTCGATGCTGTGAGAGCCTTCAGGTTCCGCGAAAACATCTTGGAAAAATACCTAAATTACCGGCCGGGAGAGCCGAGAGTACAGGTATTAGAAGGTTCGGTTTATAATTGGTCTGATCGCACGATTTGCCTTTTTCTACAGAATGTAACGGACATATTAGGCCAAAATATAATTTGTAGGAAAGCATCGATGGATTGTTTTACGCGTCCAAAATCGGACGATAGCGCACCAAATCTTGCTTGAATCATGGTATGCTGGGATGCATGCGGTAAGTTTGAAGAGGGAAAAGAGAACCGTAAGAGCTACCATTAGGGTTAAGGGCTACGGGATTCGGAATTAGGGACTCGGGCTTCGAGATTCAGAACAAGGGAGACGGGACTCGGGCTTCGACAGACAGCATACGGTATTTGACTTTCGAGATTTGGTATACTGAACGCGGGGTTCTGACTTTGCTGTTCCAGGAGGAAGTAGCATGGAATTTCCATCAGTATGTTTCTCGGAATTTCCATCAGTATGTTTCAAACTATAGTGTGAGACAATGAGGCAAACATTTGAAGTGGAATTTAACTGAATCGTCCGCGTCGTGAGTATCATCAAGATATTTTTAAAAATAGAGGCGACATCGCCTAGCATTTTTACTTGATCGTCGCAAAGAGTCTCGTAAATTGAAGATTTCTGCTTATTGTCTGTTTAGTTTGTCCGTCTTACCTTCACGTGGTCGTTCATGGCAGCTGGATCTCTGTTTTCCATGTTCATCTGATGTCCATGCTGTGCTGCATGTTCAGTTCCTCGAATTTCAACTTGAACCTCGCGGAGTTCATCTGTCGACGACATTTCGACGATCCTTTTTGTCTAACCGTGAAAAGCCTTTTTTACGCACAAAAAATTCCAATTTGGTATTATTACAAAGAATAAAAAACTGCACTGCACGGCAGGATTTTATGTAGACCACCAGCATGGGTAGTTTAGAGCGCAATCTGATTGGTCAATTCTGGCAGTGTTAGTTTTTGTCAAGCTGTTGAGCCGTTTATCTCTGAAGTGATTATAATGAAACTTCTCCCCACAGTTTCAAGATATTATCTGGCAAACAGGTTTGGAGAATTATAAACCTCATAGAGTCATTTTGATATTTCACCAAATTCTCTCAGCTTACAAAAAAGAATGTTGGGAAGGTAAAAGGAAGAACCAGCAATCAATTGCAAGCACCAGTTGTTCGAAGGTAGGATAACGCTATCCACTGGATAAATCTCTATTCGGTAGATAGCGCAGTACGTTTTGGTAACTCTTATCCGCTAGATAGCGATTTATCCGGCCGTTGCATAGCGTTATCCGTTCTTGAACAACCGGGCCCAGATCTAAGGGGTAAAAAAATCCATTAAAAAACAGCAAAATGCAGTGCTACTATATAATCTTCCAATAAGCAATCACGGCGATCGCCATCTGCTTATCATAACAAGTATTTGACAAATTGATAGCAACTGAAGGGATTTAAGATCAGAATTCTAGGGCAATTTTAAATTCATTTTATAAAAGATTTATCGTACCCGCTAACTCTCGTGTCTTTGCTTATTCAGTTCAATGCCATTTCATAATCCCCGGTAATTTCTCGCAACCTTTCTTAGGATAATTCCCATTGAACAAGTTTCAAGTGCTAACGGCTAAATAAACTGAGACTATCCCCTGGTTTACGATGTCCTTACAATCCCTAAGCTTATGGCTACCCCTCCATTTTTCTTAAAACTGACAAAACAATGTTTCTCTTAAACTTTTCAAGAATTCTTTTGAATCATTTATTCCCGTGAAAGAATAATTGCAAAGATTTTTCGCAGAGCACCTGCCACACCACATGTAGACAGGTTACTAGTCAAGAAGCTTCCAGTTTTCTTCAGGTGATGGGGACAAGAACAGGAAATTAGGGAGAATATAATTATGATAAACAGCTTAACTCTCCCAATAATAACTCTTTATAACAATCTCGTTCCCAGGGCGCTTTTCCCTTCGAGAGAGAACAGGCAAAGCGCCCCGGGAACGAGGTTGCTCTTATAACTCTCAACTGGATCTCTTTCTACACATGCCGCAGCCCATCCTATATTCATGTAACCCACAACAAGCTGTACCTTGCTTCATAAGACGGATAACAAGTAACATCTTGATAAATACATAGAAGATTTATTTAATCGTAAAAAGATAAACTAAAAGTTGTTTTGACCTGTGAATGAATACAGATAACAAAATAATGTTCACAGTCATGTAAATTCAATTTAAAAAAGAAGGCAAATTCAGGCTCCAACAATGTTCGAACCCTGTTAAACACTAGAAGGCTTCAATTTGTCTCTTATGTTCCTGACGAAATCAGAATTTATATCATCAGCTTAAGTTTTGTAATCAGTTTCTTTTTTCTTTTTCTTATATTTGAAATGTTTTATACTTCTTTGATATCATATCTTTTTACTTAAGGCTCTTTACACTCCTTTTGTATAAAGCCCTTGGCTGAAAGATCTTCCTATCGTAATCTATAACTGTGCCTGAAATAACCCAGAGGGTAATGAGCAAATATTTTTTGCATCAAGATGCGTTTCATGCATATGCAAGTTACAAATACTTCCGGTCCCTTGGTTCTCTAACTTATCTCAAGAGGGAAGTTCCTTTTTGCTTCGTAATTCAAAATCCAGAACTGAAATAAAGTTTAAATATGGTGACAATAATCTGTTCATCACATTTATTGAAGGTGGTTCTACGATTTCTGCCTAGACAGAGGCTATCATTCTGGTGATGCTTATGTGTCTCGTGCATGCGCAGTACACTTATATTGCGCCACGAGCCTTCGACTCCATTTTGAAATTAGAGCTACTGACTTCTCGTTCCAGTAAGGGTTGTTCTCACCACGCGAAACGTTTGGACGCTACAGACAGTTCTTCTTCCACTGAGTTGTATTTTTTTTGTGCTACTAAATATTCATTCTACAGAAATTATGTTGTGAAATAAATTTCTCAAAGCGACTCAGCATTGTTCCAGCGATAACGACAACATTTTTTTCTTTGCTTTTAGACAGAACAAAGGTCGCTAAGCACCGAGTTCATTTCAGGAATAGTCTTACAAGCTTCAATTTCATAACGGTAGAAATTAGAACTACAACCCGATCAAACTGTTGACTATTGGTCAACTGTTCAAAACAACTTAGTATAGATTACCTTTGAGCAGGTGAAAGTCATCTTAGTGCGTCAAACTCATAAATTATTCGTTTGCTCAAATTCGTGATAAACACGTTATAATAATTGATATCTATGCAGAAAGAATCAAACCAGAAAGCGTGTATAGAATCTTGAACTGACAACGAAAATCTTGTTTTTTGGATATATCGTATTAGTAGTGGAGATAATTATGCGGTGTTATATTTTACGACACCGCTGTTGAGTCATACAAACTCGAAGTTGGAACTTTCGATTGACAGTAAAGTTTGAAGTCGTCAACCATCGCCAAACAGATTTAACAGCGACAAAAGTCACAAAAGAAAAAACGTATTTTTACTTTTTGACGTTGGATTCGCCTTCCTCGTTGCTATTATAACTTTTTTTTCTCAATTTGAAAGAGTTAGACATCTTAAACATGTGTGCACATCAAGGAGCTTCCAGCGATCTTCACACGGCACTACGCAACAGATGCACGGAGACCGTGGTTACGGAGAGTTTAGTCACCGGCTGCTTGATTATAGCAGGATTTCTATCTGGTTTAATTGTGTGCTTAGCGATGTACAGAAATGTTAGATTACGGTACACCATTCACATATACATTCTATGGTACGCCATTATCGATTTGGTGACAAGTCTTCTCGTTATGCCATTCACACTCGGTGTTCTTATCAAAGGCGAATGGATCTCTTCAACGTCAGCTTGCCAGTTTCAAGGCTATGCTATCTCGGTGCTAGGCATTTTTACAGTCCTCACCATGACTCTGACTGCGGTTGACAGATACATGGCCAGTTCTCGCCTAAGTCAATATTGGAGTTTCTTCAAACGAACGCACATCTGTATTATCCTTGCGGTTTTCTGTCTCTTTTCTTTCGCAATTCCATTGTCTTCTACCCTAGATCGAAACAACTTTGTTTTTCATCCCGGTTATGGCATTTGCAGAACAGAAGCCAAAAATGAAACTTATCTTCGGGCGTCGATTTTGAAAATAATTATTTTTATTGTACCATCTGTTGTCATCGCTACCTGTTACTACCGAGCGAGATCCAATATTCAGCAGCGATACAAGGATCCGAAACTTTGGGCTCAAGAAGAGCGCATGGAAAATTTAAATATTTGGAAAGAGGAAGAAAATAAGACAAAGCTTCTAGCTGCGTTTACACTGGGAACTCTTTTTTTCTGGGTCCCTGGTTATGCTTGCGACGTTGCCGACGCATTCACACACGAAAAGTGCCTCCCGCGCTCGATCTATTTGCTGAGCACACTTCTATTCAACGTCTCCCATTGTGTGAAACCCCTAATCGTCGCAGCCATGGATGGAGACTTTGCCATGGAATTTAAAAGAATCCTCAAATTTCGCAAAACCAGGAGAGTTACTGATGTGAATGCGCAAGGAAGTAAACTTGGAGGAGATCCAAAGTTTATGCCAGAAACTAGGAAGTACTATTGTGAAACGGGAGAAGATGATACAAATTTGACCAAAGCAAACGAGTCGAATGTGTAATCACGATAATTAAACAAAACATTTCATATCAATCCGACGTAGCAACAGCAATGACTCACTTTATACCACATAAGTGATTTACTTGCAAATTCTCTCTTCTATATTAACGCATTATCCAACAAAAGGTTGATAAGAATAGTCAAAATTATCCCATTTTGGATCATTTAGGGTTTATTTTGATGTAAAAAGTTCTCTTATGCACAATTTGCAAGCAAATTTTTACGAAGTAGAAGGGAGAATTAAAATATTATATCATAAGATTTAAAGGGGTTAAAATATAAAGTTCTTGGCAGGCAACAAACCATTTAATATACATTCCCAAGCAAGTTTTCCATTCTCAGAAAAAGAAAGATAATCAATAGTTACAGCAGTTTGTACATACAGAAGTAAAAATTGTGAAGCTGTAAAGAAGTCCTTCAACTACTAATTCATGTAAACGATCTAAGATAAGTTCTTAGTCTCATGATACGTGCGCTTGTTAGCTGTAAAAGCCTCAGCCGTCTGTAGGACTGATTTTCTGCTCTTCGCTGACACCCATTTATATTTCGGGGTAGCCAGTCAGTAAAGAAGGGGAAATCAACCTTCCTCAAATCACAGGGAAAACGAAAGCTAGGTAAACTTTATCTAACTGACATTCAGTTAAACAGATTTTGGGATTTAAGGTTACAAAAGTACAGTAATTATATAGAATTTTCTTTTCTGCCAATCACTTGTTGCAGTTTCAAATAATTGACGCCACGCAGCCTCAAACCCCCTAGGGTTCTCTGCTTGAGATAAAACACTTGTATTTAGATATATGAAAAGAAGCTATATAACTCTGTTCATTCTGTCAAATAAGACTTTCATGTTTAATTAATATAAAGAAAATCTTAGTGAAGCTCCACACGACTATCGTTAAGACATCATGTCCAAGGCAAAAAATTAAGAGAAGCACGCAGTGCAAAACCTTAGAGCCAAGATTATTGCTTCCCGACATCATAGAATTTTTTTATTTTGACTTGATTAGGGCTATAACTTATAAATATTTCAAAATTGCGGACGCGCTCTTTGATCAGCGGATGTACTCATTGTGTTTTCCTGCGTCTCACGTTGATTTTGAAAATTAGTCTGAGGGTTTTGCAGACAACAATGAAACAGAAGCAAATAATGCGAAGTGATGCTTTCCATGGTTGACCTTCTTGACGTTAAGTGAAACGGCAATATCTATATCCATAATTTCCCCTCTTAACCTTCTAACTCCCAGAAGTGATTAACAAGCACCTTCTCCCTATAGTATCTATACATTATCTAGCAAACGGGTCATGAGAATACTCAAACTTATCAGGTAGAAGTTGTTCCCTTGATTGAACACCAAATTCTCATAACCAGTTTACAAGGAAATGTGTAGTAGCTAGAAGGGAGAATTCCCAATCAGATCTTGTGAGTTAAAGGGTTGAAAATGAAGGACATTCATACATTGCACATCAGTTTTCATCAGGACATTAGCCGGGACCTTATGCAGTCAGGACTGCAACGCCAAGGGAGACGTCAATCAAAAAATGAATTTCTACTTTTAATTAGAATTTCGAAAATGGCTGCATGTGTTTACCATCTCATACGGCGCCACAACTCAACCTTAAAATAACGTATAAAAGTAGCGTTGAGTTCCAAATGGAAATTCAAATAATTTGCCGTCGCGGTTTCGGTTCGCAAACGACGCAAATTTTGGTGATTTCACGTTGTTGTTTTGCGAAGGACGGTTAGGAAATGTACTAAGTTTTAAAATACACTTGCTGAGATATTGTTCTGCCAATTAGATCTTTTGTTTTTCCACGTCCTCGTTGCCGTCGCCGTCGTGGTTTGCTTAAGGTCCCTATTATCACGGGTGCGACGGACTAACAAGTTTTTGTTTTTATGACTTCCTTGCCTCCTTTTAACACAAGTCTCTTACGACGAAGAGTAACCGATAACAACGAAAAAAAAACAAACATATTTTTAATGAAACATTGCTCATGAAGGTGGGGATTTGCCACGTTAATCGATTCGAAAGCATGAGTCATTTACCAAGACTTTCTAAATCAAGGTTCATCTTTGTGCTTCAATTTATAATTATCATAAGTTTGATATAATTTGGATTAATCAACCAAAATTACTTTTCAGCTTAATTGCTTTAATTGTTACACTTGTTTTTCTCCTTACGATTTTTTTGAGCTACAGCAGCACTAAGAATCCTATAAATATCGATACCAAAATGCACCATTTCAATTCAAAGGAAATTTTTATGGGATTGACCACACGGAAAGTTATCCAGAACTGCGGTATTCAAACTTGTAAATTTGAAAGCAATTTAAGAGACATTGGACATCAGTGCTCATTCTAAACTGAACCTTGCATGAAATCGTAAGATTGTGGACATAAAAGGTTTGTTTATAAGTGATATCAAATTTGAAAGTTTTCTTTGGCAATAGTAGACTCAATATAAAGAGAGAAAATGGATGAAAATATTTCAGTTACTGATACCGCTTGTTATCAGTTCAGACTAGCATTAGCTAAGGTCATCTGAGCCATGACTTCAATAAGCCGACACGTTTATAGAAAATGTAATTGCTTTCATGAGTTCTAAGGGTGAAATGGCTCAAAACGTAAAAATGAAAATGATCCATATGATAAATCGAAAGACTCGTAACGTTATGAGTGTCTGATGAGGAAACGTTTTGTGTTCTGGCAATGGAGATGATACAACTGATTGGAAAACAAACTACATATGAACTGAGTCCGTGAGAGAAATTAGTCAGTTCGTTTGTATAGTATTAAATATATTAACCAGTAGTTTCACTAGCAACCTTTGTGGCTTCCCTTGGTGTTGATGTATGGGATCCCATGAAAAATGGGTTCCCACTCCACTGATGAGCAAACTCGTGATCAGTGGGTAAAAAACAAGGAAAAAAGCGTATGCAAGGGTGGGAATGAGTGTGTAAAATGAACATAAAAGTTAGGTGTTAAAATTGAGGGAGCGACTTCTGTAACAACAGCACGCTCCTAAACTCAATTTAAAATTGTAAAAAAAAAAAATATATATATGTAGTAAAAACTAGTTAAAAAGAATTAAAAATACGGTAGTGATTGGAGATATGTCAGAAAATAAGTAAGGACTCGCAATATCAAAGGTATAACTATCGAAACAAAGAAAGCGTTCTTGTCATGAGAGTTTTATCGATGATTGATACTGACTAGACGAGAAACAATCCTTTCAGGGGAACTGCAATTAACCTGAAATTTCGGGAAAAAAGCCTGAAAAGATTCAAGTTTCTAAGACACTTGCAAGGATCATCTCTCTTCTTGTACATCATCCGCAGGTCAAATATTGCCTATTTCATAGCTGAGATTTAATTACACATTTGATGTTGGGACGTTGCCTAAAAAAGTTGTGGCTCGAATGGGAGTCAAACCCAAAGGACCAGGGGTTACTTTGCTTAAATTTTTATCCGGCTTTTATGAATACATACATTCCGGCCTTTTAGAAAAGAAGCCTTTGTCTTGAGATTTGAAAATTACAAAAATATATTGAACTAAGTTTGGATCGTTTATTAAGAATGATTTGGAAGCATGCAAACTGACAGCCTGAAACAAGAGTGTTCCGGATGAGATAATGTATTAACTGCCTATGTTTTCATTGACACTGAGATTGTAAGCTTAATTAATTCTGGAAAAACGAAAAACATCCAGGGGGTTCCAGATAATAACTGAGATCTCGCGGCTAAAAGAAAACAAAGTATTTTAATTTATTTTTCCTTAAGATACTGATTGCTTTCGCAAGATACTGTGTTAAAAGGAAGAGAGTGTCAAATAATTTCAGTAGAGGAACTTGTAGAGTTCAAAATTATTTGAAAGATAACATTCTATAGCTGGGTAGTAGAGTTTATCAATGAGTTAAGATAACTTATGGTGATCATGAGAAACTGCGTGCGTAGATGTAATCGTTGGCAATAAGCAAAGGAAAGATGGCGGACGCAGATTTCAATTAATCTAAACAATCAGGGTGTTCCAACATTATTCCAGTTCAAAGTTTAAATAAACTGGCGCATTTCTAGTGAAGAAAAAGTGTGGGAGAGTGTTTCTCTTCACAGTCTGGTTTTCTGGAATACTTGCAACTGCCAAAGCATTATTAAAAACGAAAACTATTGATTAGTGACTTGAAAAATCTGAAAAACCATCATAACTTAGTTGGTTTCACTCTCACTCGAGTATATCAACGTGATTTAGGGGAGACCTTTCTGCGTGTGAAAAGGTTTTTCGATGAGTGATATAAACTGATCGTGTTTTTCATTTGCAATCACAACTTCAGAAATTAATACAGATATCTATCCAGCAACCAATTTTCAAGTCAAAGTCGGCAAAAACAAAGGTATAAAAACAACACGGGTGTTCCAAATAATCTGTTATCAGGGTTCCAATAAACTAAGGCATTTCTGTGTTGAATCATTTGTGAGAGGTAGCTAAGCACTCGGCACAATGTCCAACGCCGCAGGATCCTCCCGTCTTCTCGTGGTTTGCTGTTGTGTGTCGTTTATCAGTGTTGTAAGACTTGTACCCACGACCCACGACCCACGACCATTAGTCAAACTCAATTGTAAGTCAAAGTCGGTAAAAACAAAGATATAAAAACAACATGGGTGTTCCAAAAAATCTGATATCAAGGTTGATATAAGTCAAGGCATTTCTGTGGTAAATCATTTGCGAGAGGTAGTTGAGCACTTCACAATGTCCAACGCCGCAGGATCCTCCCGTCTTCTCGTGGTTTGTTGTTGTGTGTCGTTTATCAGTGTTTTGCTGTACTGTGTTGGTTTTGTGAGACTTGAGTTGCGGCTAGAGGCTTACAGAGAAAGACTCGAGACTTTTGAGCGAAAAGAAAAAGATCTTGAGGAGACACAAATTCAGAGTAATGCAACGAAGGATGAGTGCACTGCATAATGAGTAAAACTTCATGCAAAAATCTCGTGAGCGTGAGCAGTTGGACATATCTTGAGGCTTTCAATCGAAAAAGGTCTGAACAACAAAAAGGAACAATTGAATCTAAATATTTTGAGCACACAAAAGGACCATTGAACTCTTCATTGAACAGTTTAGGCATTCGACAGCAGTCTCCAATAGACACTTTCAGTCTAAGGAGAAAGCAGTGACTTAATGAGAGCGATAAAGTAAAACAATGTACATTTTCATATTTGCAGTTATCCTTCGACAACTTTACAATCGTCTGTAAGCCCGGCATCTTCTTTCCCATCTTTATTTCAATATTTGAGAAGTTCTTAGTGAAGCTTTCTTGGAAAAGCTTTTCTTCTTCGACCTCTTTTCTAAACTTAAGCCCCACTTAGACAGAAAGCTTTAAGAGAACCACCTTTATCGCGCAGCAAATACTAACTTCAAGCCTCTTCTCCCTTTCCCTTAAAGTTACCCAACTATTTAAGATGTTTTGAATGAATTTCACAGAACTTGGCTCTTCGAATGTTCATTCAAAGGAAAGGAAGCCAAAAGCTGCCGAGACTCCTTCAGAAGGAGACAATGGCGTCTTAACTCCAGAAATACAGCGACAGATCAATAGATCCGTTTACTCCGCAACACAAAAGATCTGCACCAGCAGAAGTCAGATTTGTGTACAAGGACCCCCTGGAAAGGTTGGACCACGAGGACCTCATGGTCCCCTTGGACATCCGGGGCTCCCCGGACCCCCTGGGATAAAGGGACAAAAGGGTGAGCCCGGAGAGTCCACTTCACTGACTCCGACCTCCTTGCAGCCATTCAGGGGACAGGCAGCGGATGTTATTTCTGCCCCCGAGATTGTGGTGACACCAGCTGTCAGGACTATTGCCTTGGGCCAGTCGGCTGTATTCCAGTGTTTGGCGGAGAAAAACATGGATGTAACAGTTTCCTGGTCCAAGGAAGATGGGTCCCTTCCAAGCGGAAGATATTCAATTATCAAAGGATTTTTGTTCATTATGAATGCTACGGCGGGTGACAATGGGATGTACACGTGTACAATTCGTACTGACCAAGGGACTGCTCAGGCTTCTGTTACACTCAGCGTCAAGGGTAAGTTGATGAGATTTTGTTAACAATCACACAGTGAATAATTTAGCATTATAATTCTCTCGTGCAAAATTTTTTATTTCCCTCTTTCTTCAGGTTGCCTTTGCATGGGTCAATTATTGTAAATTTCTGTTGCTCAAAGCTCGCCCACTTATCCCTCTTCCTGTGAGACCGATCTACGCCGAAAGCGGGAAGGATGTCAAGCTCCCCCTATGTCAGGTCCTTGGATATCCCCCTCCAGTGGTGTCGTGGACAAAACTGTTTGGAGATCTACCCAGTGGAAGAGCCGCTGTACAGTGCCACACCATGACTATCACAAAGATCGAAAAAAAAGATCTAGGAACCTATATTTGCACATCTTCGAACTCCATGGCTACATCACACTCTATGACATCTCTGATTGTCAATGTGGTGCTTCAGTTTACCGTCAAGCCGCCAGAGAAGATTGAGCTTTACCATGGACAGTCAGTGACACTCAACTGCTCTGCAGACGGACACCCAGTACCCAGCATCACCTGGACACGGTGTAAAGGAGACATACCAGCAGACCGGTCTGAAGTGGGAGGAGGACAACTGAAGATAAACAGTTTGAAGGCAAAGGACAGTGGAACGTACATCTGCTCAGCACAGAGCGAGTTTGTTCATGTGGAGACTGATGTGCAACTGATTGTTAAAACAGGTAAGAATTGTTTGCCTTTTTATCTGGTAGACTAGCTGACTTTTTAACATTAAATAACTTAATTTTATCATCTGAGTTGATGATGTAAATTTAATAGTAAGTTAATATAAAAATTAGTTATTAAGAATTAACTTTGTAAAGCTGACGTTTTTTAGTGTTAGCTCTTTGTCCTTCGCTCTTCACCTGTCTTGTTATATCCCTTAACGCAGCACCAGACTTTCTTCAGAAACTTACCCCCTTTTTTATCATTTTTTCAATGGCACATTTATGACAAGCAAGTTTTCTAGACGTTTTGTCGTCCACCAGTTACTACTTTCTTGGTTAAATCTGGTATGTTTTTGCTTTCGTTTCTTCGTTCAAAGATAGTGGTTTCTTTGGGAAACTTACAGTCTCTTTAATTTTGAACAAAAGTCATTCCCTAAGTCAAGGACTGGACTAATAATGGTCGGGGCATTTTGGGTCTTCTTTAAAGTAATCATATCTGAATTCCGAAATTGGCAGTTCAAGAGCATGATAACTAACCGAGAAAATTATCCGGATCATTCGATTTTTGTAAAAAAGAGGGAAAATAAGAAATTATCTCTATGAACAACTTAGCTAGAAAAGAAAAAAATCTCTTACGTTCTGAAACACAGAGGTTGGGTAGAAGTTAACTCAAGTACACATATTGAGCCATCGAGTTTCCAGTCAGAGCAGCAAGGAATTCTTAATGAGACTTTTTCGTTTAAATCAATCAGCCCGAGACTGTACAGAGCTCCTTTCTGCTGGTTTCAAGGACAGTGGAGTGTACACAATCAACCCAACAAACAAAAGTAGTTTTGAGGTGCATGTACTGTGACATGAAGACGGATGGTGGTGGATGGACCATCTTTCGCAAACGCTTCGATGGGTTCGTTGGATTCTACAGGGACTGGGACGAGTACAAGAGCGGGTTTGGTGACGTCAGAGGAGAGTTTTGGCTTGGAAACGAAAAGATTCATCAACTGACTGAGATCCCGAGTCAGCTGAGAGTGGAGATAAACACCACGTCGGTTGGAAATAGTTACGTCAAATATGATAATTTTTCGGTCACAAATGAGGCAACCAACTACACCTTGTTTGTCGGGTTCTGTTCTGGTAACGCTCAGGATCGACTTTTTGTTTTATCAGTATTGACTTGTTTTCAGTCATTTCATCTATAATTCTAAGAATAGCCCACCATTCAATAGTTCTATGTTTGGTTAATTGGATTAAGTCTTTTAAGTGTCACACAATGATTACTGTTCTGTCATGCAATGCTTTAAAATTGTCTTGTTAGTGCCTTGCTATTGTATGACAATCGATTGTATTTTTTACTAATTGTTTTATTTCATTATTTTAAATTATTGATTTGTTATTTGTCATTTATTATTTCTTTTAGCTTGCAATCACCCTTTCTTTTTATCAGTATTATTTCTTTTGTACTTTCCTGTATAAATAAATTTTATTGTGGCTATAAGTCTGTCTCGTTGTTCAAATAACAACATCAGAACCTGCCTCGGTCACATNGTGTAACAGTTATTACACACAATAATATGCCGGCACATCGACGAGATATCAATAGAGAAACGGAACAACAGAATCATGCATTGGAAGGTAGATAATTTAAAAGGTAACTAAGGAAGGTCTCTGACATGAACAAAGCAGCAGAGGAAAGGGAGGAATGAAGAAAAAAGAGCGATAGGAAGTTCTAAGATTTGGATTAATATCGAGTAAACGTGTCTGTATTTTTTCAGAAAGACGTTTCAGCTTATATTCATATCCTTCCTGTATGTCCTGGAGCAGAACTGAGTGCATATTTTCATGTCTACCGGTATAATTTTTTGGTTATCTATAATGAGCCTCTTAATTGGGTATCTGCACGTTTAGTTAAGTCGATCTATTAGTGGGCTAAACTAGTCATTGTTAAACAACCGCATTTTCGTAAGATTGTCTCGCTAAGCCTAAACGTCGCACTTTGTTGCGATTTAACCTTTCTTCCCCGAAACTTTCCAAATATTTCTCAGCGTCAAAGTGAGTGTCACATTATAGGAGTGAAGCCACAACTATGGGTTTGTCAGTGTAAAATCATGAATTAAAAACAAAAAATATTCACAGCTCACTAACTAACCGAACACATTACAGCGAATTGACACGAACGAAGTGAGCAGAAAAAAAATGTATTGATACAATCACTTTATCCTAAGATGAGAACTTCAAATGTCTGTCTTTCCCACTGTGGTTCTACACGGCATATTGGCTTCTAAGATTGAGAAGGAATCACATGTCAATGGTTGCCGAGGAAGTAAACGGTATCCATCACGTAATAACCTGTGGTATATGCCGGGTTTTTAATTCAGTATCCAGAGAATTCGAACGCGAAATAAGGTCTAGATGTGGCTCAAATTTTTATAAGAAGAGCCGAGCCTTCATTTTTTGTCCCAAAACTTGTGACATAAGCTAACTGTCGTTCCTCTTCATATGTTTCTGCCTATACGTGCTCATAGATGAAGGAAGTAAGAATCGATTCCCCTTGTCCCAAGCTGAGAGGATTGTGAAACCGTCAACATTCCCCTAAATCAGTGACCTGGGATCATAAGTTGAAAACAAGGAAGTGTAAGTTATGCTTCCCATTGAGCTAACCCCAAAAGGTATAAATCGTTTGAATCATATGTAGACCTCATCAATTGTCGACCGTAAACTACTGAAAGTATACTTCTGTGCATCATGACGACTTCGGATAAAAGCAGACCTTCTAGCTTTCTCGTTATTTGTTGCCTTTGTACAACTCTTTTGAGCGTGGTGTGCTACAGTGTTAGTTTTATGAGAATGGCTGGGGAGCTGAGGGCACAAAACGAAAGAATTCTTGCTCTAGAGGAAAACCGGAGGAAGGCAACAACAGATATTCCGCTTCCCAAACCTTCGACTCCAGGTAAGAAATATTTTTCAAGGCTCAATTGGCCCATGTCTTGTCTGCCATTAGCTTAAACAGACTCACTTAAGTGAGAACATTACAACGCTTAAATAGACAAGAAACGGTCATAAATACCGAATGAACTAAAGTCACTTTACAGCTTTTGTAAATCATGAAAAGATGAAACGGTTCGAGTTCTAGATGTCACAACTATAAAAGGTTAACTAACAGATTCTCCTCAAAAGATTTTCGGGAAGATGAATCCCGAGAAAATTTCAGTACGTTCCGTCGGTCAGTATGTTTCAGTGGCCTGTGGCATAAATTCAAAGCGATCATTTTGACACAACCTGATTTCCATCATTTCAGTCGAAAAAATGCACGCCTCTAGCCATTTGGCATAGGTATATAATGACATTTCGTCGAAAAGCCAGTGCATCATCTAACAAACGCGTTATGAGATTAAACAAACTTATCTGCTGAAATAAAGTAAATTTTCCTGAAATTAATAAGCCATTTACGAAGGTTCGAATTGTTGTGCTTGTTAATTTTAATTCTGCTTGCCAACGGAATTAGTGAAGAATGACAATTAAGTAGTCCTTTAGTGGTTTCGAAGCTACCATACAGCGTTTCCTCATAAATGATGCCATCAGATTGGCCACACTCTTCGCTATCTATTCCGTGATAGAAAGGGAGTAAAGTAAGAAGTCTATCTATCCGGTTGTAGCGTGACCTATTTTATTATCATAATATCTTGTTGCTAAGTTTTGAACTAGAAGATTTACGCCCAGAAAATCAGAATGTTCGCTATTTATCCATAGCGGTCATTTGTTTTCTCGGGTTTCGCCTTCATCAGATCATGCAATTGAAATCTTGACCTTATAACCTGAACATACCGGCCGGAGTTCTCGATGACAATATTTATTTTTCCATTTCAGAAATCCTTGACGTTCAGCCCCCTAGCTCTTCAGCTCAGAAGAGAAACCCGCGGGCCGCTGATAGTCCCGCGAAGGGAGACAATGGGGTTTTATCCCCTAAATTTATTCGGCAAATTACAAAATCTGTTTACGCTGCAACGCATAAGATCTGCACAAGCAAAAGTCAGATTTGTATCAAGGGTCAAAAGGGGGAGCCTGGAGATTGGAACTCAATATCTCCAAATTCTCTCCAACCTGTCAAGGGGGAAGCGGGGGGTGTTGTTACTGCCCCTGGGATTCAAGTGACACCGGCCGTAAGCACCGTTGGCTTGAGCGAGACCGTCGCGTTTCAGTGTTCTCCAGAGAAGAACGTTGTCGCAGTAATTTCCTGGTCCAAGGAGGAAGGCTCCCTTCCCGCTGGAAGATACTTCATCGTCAAGGGAGCGCTCTATATCAGGAATACCACAGTCGGTGACCACGGGATGTATGTGTGTACAATTCGTACTGACCAGGGGACCGCTCAGGCTTCTGTTACACTTAATGTCAAAGGTAACTCTCATCTCAGTCTAAGTTGATAATACCAGTATAAGAAGCTAGAGTAGTTACATTTCAGTTGAATAGACCATGATATTGACGAAGTAACAAACATCAAAAATTTATTTTTTTCTAAAAGCAACATCGAAAAAAATTGGTTAAGAAAAATATTTGTTTAAAACTGTGGAGAAATTGCGAATATACAACCAAAAGATGAATCGACTGCAAAAGCTCAAATACCAACTTTCTTCTGCGCAGCTCGGCCGCTCATCTCTCTTCCAGCTGGACCCTTGCTCGCCGAGAGTGGGAAAGATGTAAAGCTCCCTCAATGCCAGGTCATCGGATATCCCCCTCCGGTGGTATCTTGGACGAAACTGTTTGGCCAACTTCCCGGTGGAAGAACCATTGTACAGGGCCACACCCTGACCATCACAAAGGCAGACAAGAAAGATTCAGGAACCTACATCTGCACGGCGTCGAATGCCATGGGTACATCACACTCCATAACATCTCTGGTAGTCAATGTTATGCCTCAGTTTACTGTCAAGCCACCAGAGAAGGTTGAGCTTTACCATGGACAGTCTGTGACACTCAACTGCTCTGCAGACGGACACCCAGTACCCAGGATCACCTGGACACGGTGTAAAGGAGACATACCAGCAGACCGGTCTGAAGTGGGAGGAGGACAACTGAAGATAAACAGTTTGACGGCGAAGGACAGTGGAACGTATATCTGCTCCGCACAGAGTGAGTTTGTTCATCGGGAGACTGAGGTGCAACTGATTGTGAAAACAGGTACGTGTTGCTTGTCACATATTATTATGCACAATATTCAAAGGTTTTCCAAATGAAATATTTTTTGTGATAGGTGCACCAACATGCAGATCTTGTGGTTCTTTCCTCGCCCACTCTTAGTTGACTTGAATTATTTTCTGTTGCTGGTGTTGTGGTTTTTATCCCACAGTTTCTCGTTTTGACCAAGAATTCTCTAAATGACTTTCATGCCCCATTTAAACGGCCTTGGGTAGATTCAGAATAATTTTAAGAACAATCCAATGTTTGGTGAACACATCCAAAATCCGCTTCTCATAAGTATGAATAAGGGCCTGAGAAAAGGAAGACGAGATTAGCGAAATTAATTTCAATGTTCGGAA